ATACAGAATCAACTTTCACTTGGCGAAAAAATTCAATTTTGGCGAAAATCGACTTTCACCCTTGACCCACGTGAAAATGAAAATTTTTTTTTCCCCATTTCTGTCACCTCCGAGGGTTTCATTGGCATCAGGGGGTCAATAAATACAGAATCAACGTTCACTATTTTTTATTTAAACACCGCCTGCAAACGGGGAGATGAGGGCGGCTTGAACGCAGATTTAATATAGGCCCATAGAATTACGGGGACCGGCAAGGATTTGGAAAGTCTGAATGCAAGTCCTGCTTACACCTAACAAGTGCTGAAGTGGGACATAACCAGAGGTAGAAAGGTCTCGGAAGCACTTGGGAAGAGGCTTCCCAAGACCTATCCAGTTCTGAACGGAGAGACCTAAGTAGAATTTGTCAGGTCCAATTATTCGACTCGGGAATATCTCGAATTGAAAATGAAAATCCGAACATGACCAATTTTCCGCTTTTGAGATCGTAAATTACGGTCAGAATAACGTGAATTACGATTCTCAAAATTGGAAATCAATTCGGTTTGGAAAGTCCCCATAAAAATCACAATCTACTGACTTTTTCCTACAAAATATCTTCTCCTGAATATTCTATTTACAAAAATGCGCAAGAAAGGTCATTTTATCCGTCGATAATATTCGCTCATCTCAATGAAGAAATCAATTGAAAGTACTGAAATTACGTCATAAAAGTACTTGAGAGAAGTTCAAAAATTACTTTTCACCAGTACCTTTGGTACTTGCGAAAAGTACTAAAAGTGCTAGCAGAAAGTAGTGAAGCTACTTTCTCCCAGTACGATTTCTCCTTGATCAGCAGAGGTAGTCTTCACTCAGGGATACAAAAAGTACTTGGGACAAGTATTTTTCGAACTCTTCACAAGTGAACTTCTCCCAATTACCAGTCGGTACTAGTGAGAAGTACATTTGTGTTTGGGTGATATATTGCGTTAACTAATTTTTTCTTCCAACAAACTTGATTAGAATTAATAGCTAGAATACACTACAAATTTTATTTTTCGGAACATTCGAAAAACCCGGATGTAAATTCCTTTGATTACTTCATGAAGAGGCAAAAATCGAAAGATCCTCTCCCGTTCTGAACAAAATAAAGCCGAGTTTTTCAAATGTCTTCTAAAAGATCCACCGACAGGAACGATTTCGAAACGTCTGCTTGCAAATTTCACTGCAATATCGATCCTCAATTAAACTCCGTATCAATGTAGACATTCACTTCACTGTTGGCTGAATAATCATTTTAAACCAACATGATTGCTCTGTCAACAGCAGCAATGATTCCCATGTCGTTGATAATTTAATCATGCACCATTTCGGTGAATTCGTCCATTCTTCTGCCTCACAGCTAGTCGTATAATGTTTGTTTTACGAAAGACAAAATTCGCTACACGGTTCACATAATTTGAGTTTGGGAGAACTCTCTAAATGATGCATAGTTCTCCGATGTTTCTCCAACAGATGCAAAGAGCAGAATCGACATGATGGTTTTGGTAACACCCGAAATAATTTCAATGTCGAGGACATTTCAACCGTAAGTGGTTCTCAAAAATCACTCGGTTACAGACAAGTCCTTGAACTTTGACGGCTCAATAATTGAAAGACGCCTTTGATCAACTGCTTTGATAAATGTGTACATTCTCCCAGTTGTAATGTTATTTATCCACAACATACACAACACGGTTCACTTAATTTAAACATTATGAAGGGCAACGCCTAAATAATGAACTTATATGAGGTATTAAAAGCCAAATGAGTTAGCCGCTGACCCTTATCCTCTTGGAAATTAATAACGATTTTTTCTATGATTGGGGGGGTTGAAAATCTATCTCTTAAATTTTTTCCGCAGCCCAGTTCGAAGATAGGATTTTTTTAACATTTTTTCGTTTTTTTCCAATAACTCGAGTTCTATTTGTCCGATTTTGATTCACTGAGCGTCAAAATTT